TAGAAAGGGTGGGTAGATGTTAAAAAAGATGAAAAAAGTACCAGTAATGGCCACAGGGGGGAGTCTAAAATAGTAAACCAGCCCAAAGATGAAAAAAAGTACCAGTAGTGGCCACTGGAGGGAGTCTAAGCTCCAGGTACCTTGCCTTTCCAGAGCAATGGCGTCCAATGTAGAAGAGTTCAGTAAATAGTTCTGTCGGACGTGGCTCTCTTGAGATGGCAACAGCAGCAAACAATAACCAACACAGCCAGCACAGCGAGGAACCCGTCGTTGAAGTCCTGGGGTCACAGCCCCGGCAGTTAAACAATAGGTGGAAGCCGACGGAGGCAATGGCAAGATGTAAGATAAATGCCGTGCCAAAGGGGAAAAGGGGAAATCAGCTGGGCTGCGTTGCAGAGCTGCAGGATTGTAGTGAGGGGAGAAAGCTAGTTCTCTAGTCCAGGCAGGCACTTCCATAGAATTCCCCACCCCCTGTTCGGGGCACAAGCCCGCACGCCAACAATAAAAGTTATTTAATGAAAGACCGGGTCTCCCAGGGCAATGGGGCGGCTTCTCAGGGCGGCGAGGCCAAAACCACCGCCGCTCGCGTAAAGCCGCCGTCGCCGCCGCCGACCAGCTATTTAAGAAGATCGTCGAGGGAGGTAACACCGTCCAGGAGCCACCCAAAGGCAGCCCCCTCCTCAAATAATTACCTCCCCAGGAAGCCTGAGCGTTGGTATCTTGGAAGGACCCCTCCGTTCTCATGTCCGGGGTCTTGGTCACCTGAAGTCTTTTGTTTTTTGATTTCGATAGCCGGAGCGGTGAGACTCGGCAGCCATCTGTGTACACAGTACACAATCAGCACATGCCAGAAATTCCTGGAGTTCTTGTAGCTATAGGCCTCTTGGACCAGTTTTATTTTTTCTTTTTCTCATCAATTTTGGAAGGACATGCAGCTCTTGGTCATGTTACTGTCGCACCATATTTTCTCCACTTGGTGATGACTCTTCATTGTGTTCCATGGTATATCCAATGCCTTGGACATTTTTTATACAATTTTCCTGACTGATACTTTCTAACAATGAGGTCTCTTTGGTGCTCTGTAAGCTCTTTGCAGACTATGACTTCCACTGTAAGAAACAACTGAGTAAATGTTAGAACAGCTGAACTTTATACGGGCTTGATCAGAATCCCTTTAATTGATGACAAATGTGTCATCAAATGTGTACTGAATGTGATTGTTTAATTTTCCAGAGTGGGAGGAGGGAATGGTCACACGTGGGTTTTATCACAGCCTGATTGGTCCAAGGCTGAGAGGAAATCTATAAATACTGGTGTCTGACCACTCCTAGCCCAGATTCTCTCTCAGTCTGGTCCAAGCTGTAGAGCAGTTTGATAGGATTCTACTTTGTTTTCTACTTTTGGGTGAGTTCTATTCAATCTGATTNCAGTCCATAGTCCAATTATAATTCACCCAACTGTCAGGTGGGAGATATCTTCAAAAAACATCACCAGGGTGGAATGCTGGACAGTTAACCATTTCTGTAATGAAATGCTATTTAAACTGCCTGAAAATAAAACTTGCAACTTATTTTGTTATCAAAAAGAAGATATTTTGTGCCACCCATCAGATAAATTCTTGTAAACCCACAAAGTCTTCATCAAATGTGATTCTTTTAAAATAGTAATCTACAATAAATATTTACCTTGATAGCTCCAGAAACTTTTTAAACATAGTAATCTTTAAATAGAGTATAAGCACAAATCAACTTTATGATCTACAGGCAATACGAAACTGTAGTTTGGATTTGTACTGTAAACAAATACATTATTTCCCCAGAATCAAGCTGTCATACGTGTAAAACAGTCAAATGTATTTTGATTTTCAAACTTTGCATTAAAATATTGCTTAATAGCTTAACAAAGTTCAACCATCTCTCATTGAGTTGTACAACCATCATAACAATCATTACTTACCTTTCCATATCAGTTTTTCTTGGTAATCTGGTTTTAAAAAGGAAAGAAAAATAAATACTATGTCATAAAAGATTGCAAGAATATTAAATTTTAGACTATAAAACGTAGCCTCTCGGTATATTGCCTTACATTCCAAAATGTATGCAAATGGCAATGTATTATGAGCCTACATTTTGAAGCTTGATATTTAAATTGTTTATAAAAGAAATCTCAATTATACAAATAATAAACACATATACAATACTTTCAGATAAACATAATTGTTAAAGCTTCAATAGATGAGTCATTTTCTTAGGACAATATCTATGTAGACTATATAAAACTGAAAGAAAAGATGCACTGCACAGCTTCAGTTGAACACCTACAGTATCTATCATGCATCCAATCACGTTAGAAAACACATTTATACATGTTTATTGAATCTAAAATGTTTATATTATGCAAAAGGACATTGTTACCAAGTTTAAACAAACTTAAACTGATGAAATATAATCCCAGTATGGGATCTGCAATTTAAATGCTTCTAATTCCTATTCCTAGTCTCTCAATAACATCACATAATATAAACCACATAATATAAACTTTAACCGTCACGCTGAAATTTACATTATAGCATAACGGACTGGATTTCTTAGGAAGCGAAACTCATTTTATTTCTTTTTATTATGAAAATCAGTTTCGTTATCAGACTCGGAAGCTTACGCACGCACCATTACATTCTGCTTTTTCTCCATAACTTTAACTTAACATAGATCACCCTCCTCCAAAAAGAACAAGAAGTGTCTAAGCAGCAAGGATTTTCCCAAGCAAATCGGAGAATGAATTATTGCTGGGATACAGGACTTACAGGTCGGCCAGGACAGTGAGCTCGGCATACGTCCGATGCAACAGAAAATCGATGAGAGTGCTGAGTCGGTATCCAGGACTAGCTGCCGCGGTCGCAGTCCCTGGAGGCGGTGGAGCCGGAGCCGATGCGGGCCCACCGCCCAGCGGGACCAGCTGATGGCTCTCCAATTGCACCGGCGCCATCGCTGCAAAACGAGAAGAAACCAACCAAATCCCTTCGCGCTGTCAGAGCTCTTTCGCACCCCAGAGATAGGCACCCGCTAGCAAAGCTTCAAGTGTAGAAAAGTGCTCACAACGCACTTGGTTGCCCAGCCAGCGCCATGGCTGGCGACAGTGACATCGCCATTGCTAAAATGGGCGGGGTTGAACACTGCACCGGAAGTGATACGGAGAAAGTGACGGACAGGAAATAATCCCGTCTGGAATTCTATATGTATCATAGATCATTTCTCATTTTCTTTTGTTTCAACTTTAGTTTCAGGCTTCCGGGTTCAAAATCTTTAGTTTTGATATTCAGAGGCAAGAAGTGGGAGCAAGAACAAGAACAAATCCATTTTAAGGTAGCAAAGAAACCGTAATGTTGTATCTTATATTATATAAGCCGTAAAGATCCCCTCGAGTCGAATTCGATTCCAGACATCATGAAGACATCCGTCCATACGACTAGCAGACACGATTTGCAAAACTCCAAACGTTCACTAGAGGGCAGCAAAGAACTAGAGTACTGTATCTCTTTGGGATCAACTGGTGGTCGTTTGGAATTTTGCGAACTAAAAGGTGTTTTCTGCTGTTATTACAGTGAATTATTAAACATTACAAGTTATTTTGTCAGTATCAAATTAATTTACTGTAAGAAATAGAGTGTATTAAATGTCTATTGTTTTAAAAATGTAGTCTCAACTCAGTGTCTGCTAGCAGTTTTACAACAAACTGCGTCTAATTAAACATATTTGTTTTAGACCGTTTATGTCTTTAACGGAATTATTTGCTTATTTAATTTACTAGTTTAATATCCCACATTTCATCTAGAAGTGAAGATGGTATTCATGTCCCTATAATTATTCTCCAAAGCAATTAAACTAAGTAATAACGACCTATAAGTTATTGACTTAGTTTATATATCACCCTACATTATGATTTGTAAAACAAGCGATCATGGTGGCCTACTTTATACAGCATACTAAGTGAAAGAAGTAAGTAGATTGACTTCCTTAGCTTGATCATAGCTAATACTAGTACAGTATTGGGAGACTTGGGGTACTTTCATACTGGCAGTTTTCACTCATCTTACTTACATTATTTGATTGATTGATTCAAGGCTGCATGACTCCCCAAAAAAGCATGTAACACTTTTAAAAGAATATATATAAAAAGAAAAGCACAAATGCTCATACACTATTTATTGTCCTCAGTCACAAAATCAGACTCAAAATAGCCTAGTGGTTCCACATAGGAATCTCAAAAACGCAAGTTTGAGCCAGCAAACACTTCTCATTAATAACATGAAGAAATGCAAAAATTAAAGATATTACTGCCAGATAGCATCATGTTGTCTCCCTGTCTTTACCTTGCCATTTTGATGTTTGCTGCTGAAAAAACAACCAAGCAACTGACTATTACTTGATAAGGTCCATGAACATATCTATAAAATCACTAGGACTCGACTTCATTTCAAAGAACACTTAATCTTTAGATGAGTAGAGGGTATGCATTGCAACTATAAGATGGTTAAAGAAAATAGATCCAAAAGAAAGTTTTATTATATTATAGCATGCCATCTTCATTTATAAATTTATATTCAAAATTTATATATGTAAAGGATTCATTATTTTTTTCCTTTTCATAACTATTCTACATACAGGAATCCTGAAATAGTTTAAATTACTCTGTTACCATCATATTTTTGTAGCATATGAAATTATTCATAAACAATAAACATGTAGCAGAACAATTATGCATTTGGAGCTCATCTTTCATTATTAGTTGTAGACTTCTTAGAAAAATTAAGATAAAATTTAATTAGCATCTATCTTATTGAGCAGAAACTACCTTGCTAATTTTTACTATTTGTAGCATTTCAGGCCAGGACTAGCAGGGAGTTCATTCGTGTACTACCCCAAAAATAAGGCCCAGTCTTATTTTGGGCTCTGAAATAAGCACTTGTGCTTTTTTTCAGAGGATGTCTTATTTTTTCTTCATGTATGGGAGGCCCACTTCTTCTGCTTGCTCCTGGTGGGGCAGGAGGCTGTGCGGTGTCTGTGCTGCCACCGTGAGGCAGGGGGATTGAGCTATCTGATGTGCCCCCACTGGTTTGCCTCAGGACTCCTGCAGCCACGCCACCCATGCCCCAATACCTACCGCACCTCGTGGTGGTAGCTCCAACAACCCCATCCAGCAGGACCCTGCATTGATCCACTTCTGCTGCTTGTTCATGGCCACAATGGGGGAGGAGGCTGAGTGACACACTGATGCCATGGCCACGAGGCAGTTGTTGGGGCGTGGATGGCCTGGCTGCAGGGGCCCAGTGCGGGGCACATGGGGCAGCTCCACCCCCACTTGCCTCACCTTATGTCAGCAGCATCACAAGCAACTAGATGGAATGGGCAGTGGGCAGCTGCGCAAGTACTTAAGTAGGGCTTATTTTGGGTGTACAACTTATTCTCCATTGGATCAATGGAGTCCAGGATGGGTTACTCTTGTCTACTAGCTCTATTGGCTGAGTTAAAATTCTGAAGACACACCTTCCTGGTCCTCAGTCTTTCAACTCAGCCTCAGCTCGAAGGACAAGCTTTTGAGTCCTGTCAGGTGCCTTGCATTGAGCCGCCAACAGAGTGATTGAGCAGGTAGCAATTGAGGTGTTAATTGGTCAGTCTGTCCAGCAGTGCAATTACCAGCGGAGACTTGGCTAGTGAAGAGGAGCCGCTGCTGCAGGACTGTATAGAGGCTTTATAGAGGCATTGGTGCACTGAAAAATACAATATCAGTTTCGCACCAGATTTCTAGCTGGAGTGGCAGCTATTCCCGGGTCAGGCCGGTACATCAGTGTGACTTCTAATCGAGGCTAGGCACCACTAACACCAGTATGCAGGAGTCATTGGTCATTTGGGCCAGGCTCTGTGTCATTGAGTACCGCAGCTGTGAGATGCGTAAGTCTGCCTGATTATTGCAGCGCGGACAGAGAATTTGAGAAACTTGTGTTCGCCCAAGGTCTGGTGGATTCCTCCCTACTCCATTGCAACATTGAGATGAGTGGTAACTGTGACTGGGGATTCAGTTCATACCCCTATTTGGGATCAGATTAGGGGTCTGCCACTTCACTGGGAGAATTGGTTAGCAAGCCTGCATTTGCCTAGGCCTGCTCCTGAATTTCATGATGGAGGAGAGTGGTGCATCTTCAGGCCTAGAACAAGGAGACTCATCTCCACTGGACTATGGAACAATGGTGGGGGGCCAGATCCGCTAGCTTGGCAGCAGCTGCCAAGATTAAGGTTAAGGCCAGGGCACATAAGAGAGCTTCCAAGGCAGAGGAGAAAGCTGCCAAACAAAGGCACAAGGCCTTAGACAAGTAGTTCAGTAGAGCTAAGAAGAGATCGGACCAGCAGCAGGGTTCAAAACCCAAAAGGAATGACAACCCTCTGTCATGTAGACTGGTCGCAAGTACCTTGCAGACAGGGTCACAAGGAGTGCAGCTGCCTACTCCTTCAGGGGCCTGGTCACCAGAGGCTCTTAGTGACCAGGGAGATTTAGAAAGAGTGGCTAGGTCTACAGCATAGTTGAGGCCTCGCATTTCGATTAGCCTCAAACCTCTGGATCAGCGCCTGAAAGTGGTCTTACACAGCCTACTCCAGAGACAATGTTCACACCCACAGTTGTGGGGCTCCACCCTGGGGACCTTCAAGAGCAGGAAATGCCTGTTATTTTTAGGCAATGAATATCTCAAGCTATCAGGCAGGATAGTGGAGATACATCAAACCCAACAATTGACTGAGCCTCCAGTCGAGTGATACTTACAGCAGGAGAGCGGGTACACAGGGAGTGAAACTTCCAGTTACAAGGGTCCATGACATGGCCCCTATTCTCTGGGACACTCCGACCACAATCAATCTCCCTTTTCGGAGGGGGAGATTCCAGGAGAGGGGGAATTTTCAGAGAGAGAAGGAGAACAGCCATCAAATTTCCCAGCCTTCAAGGGTCTGTTTAACCCCTCTTTATTTATATTCATGCTTTCTAAGGCTAGGAACACTGCTCGCCTGGGGAAGGAGTTGATTGCACAAGAGCCTAATCAGGAGGACTTCCTGTTAACAGAGCATACTGTGGAGGTGATTGCTATTCCTATTCTAGGGATGTTTATTGATATTATAAAAAGACAGTGGACTGCACCAGCCGCCTTCTCCAGACCCAATAGCTCAGAGAACATTCTTTACTGTGTTGATACGGATCTTATGCAACTGGTCCAGGTTCCTAAGGTAGATGCTGCTCTAACTTCTTCCTCGATACTTCCTCCTGATGCAGAGGATACCTTGAAGGCTGAGGAGAGAAAGGAGGAGATGGCTCTCTGTAGAGCCAATCAGGCTGACTTGTGGGCGATCCAGGCCTCCACTGTGGCGTCTTTTTTCACCCGGGTTTCGGTACGCTTGTTCAGGCAGCTTCAAAATTGAATTCCAGTGGAGGATCTGTGAGCTCATCAATAACTTTGCAAGATCATAGCGGCAGCCGAGTTCACTGCAGATGCATCATTAAATGCAGCTAAGTTCTCAGCTAGAGACATTGCCTCTTCGGTGATGGCTTGTCACATGTTGTGGCTGCGACATTGGCGCATGGACACTAAGAATAAGTGGAAACTGGTGTCCGCTCCCTTTGCAGGAGGGGACCTGTTTGGAGAATCCCTAGCTCCCTTTTTAGTGGAAACCAGAGATAAGCGAAAGGTGTTGCCTTCCCAGAGCAGGAGTGCAGACTTTCACATTGTCCTGTATTTCAGGCTCTGCCCTTCAGCAGAGGGGGGCTGGATGTGGGTGTCCCTGACAGCAGCAGCCCTTTCTTTCCAGACCCAACTACCAAACCGAGAGGTCCAGTTTTGGTAGCAGAGGTCCTTGCTATTAGTGAAGATGGTATCCTGCATTTCCTTGGTGCCCTGGGCAAGGTTCCATGTCAGGCCCCTCCAGTGGTTTATGCTTCCCTACCAGAGGACTGGGCGCAGTATCTTGAGGGCAACGGTGTAGGTGTCACTGAGGGTACTTCAGTCATTCCTCTGGTGGGGGTCCAGAGCCATCAGATGGAGCTGTGTCTTCCAGGAAGTGGACAGGTGGACAATAACATCAGACACCAGCCTTTTCGGTTGGGGGGTCCACTTTGAGAACCAGGTGGCC